GGTCGGGACCCTTTAAGCGCAGCCCTCGGCTAGCCTGAGACAGCATCTCCATGCTCTAAGTCCTCCTCTGATGCCCTGCCGGCACTGCTTCCAGCCATCCTTAAGCCCTGTTCAGAGTCCACTCAATGTGGACTTGCTAGTTCGAATTAGCAAAACGCTAATTCGAACTAGTTTTTAGTTCTAGACGCGTTAGTTCGAACTAGCGCTGTAGTGTAGACGTACCCAGAGGGAATAGCGCCCCCCTGTTCCCTGGAGCAGAGCGACTCTCAGCCAAGAGGGTTTATTGAGCTTTGAACACAGGAAAGGATCTGTCAGGCCTGTAGGGCTGGGCCCTCAGCCCCACATATCAGTCTCTCCTGCAGCCAGTGAGTCCTGCCTGTTCTGCTTTCTGTCTCAAACCGCCCAGCCGTCTCCCAGCAGAGCCTCCAATATCCTTAGCAACAGCCCCTTCCCGGCCATTGTCTCTCTTGTCAAAGTCAGACAGGACACACAGAACTGGTAGCGCTGGGCTCGCACTGATAGGCAGGAACCTGTTGGGCACGAGGCCCTCGTGGGTGGGGCTGATGCATTGGGTCAGGCAAGGTCAGCACATGGGACTTTCCAGCGGGGGGGCAGCAGGAAGGACAGACGTACAGACACACACATGGTTAATGGTTTGCAGTGGGGCTAGTCACAGAGCCGGGTTATATCTCCCCAGCAGAACGGCAGCGCTAACATGTTCTGTCGCTCTCCCCTGCCCTTCTGCTTGCCTGGAACTGGCACCCTGGAGCATGCCAGGCACAACGTCTCGTCTTGCCCGGCCCCACGGTTTCCCAGCAACTCAGCCAAAAGCGCTAGCACCCAGAGCCCTGCGCAGATGCACAATCATGTATCTGCGTCCGTATCCGTACAAATGAGCCAGTGCTATCTGCAGCCGTGTCTGCAGATCCTCGCTGATATAAAGTCAATATCGGCACCTGTCAGGGCTCTGCTAACTCCCATGCTTTCTCCCCACCCTGCCCCACTCCCAGCCACCTGGCTCAGCCCTGCCCTGTAAACAACTCAGGCTCCAGTGGAGAATCGGCAGCGACCAGCGCAGCCTGCGTAGGAATCATTACGAAAGGAACAGAATAAGACAGAAAATACCATATTGCCTCGGTATAAAGTCACGGTAAGGCCACAACTTCAATGCTGTATGCAGATCTGGTCACCCCATCTAAATAAAGCTATCTTGGATTTGGAAAAGGAACATCCAAGACAACAGAAATGATTAGGGGTTTGGAACAGCTTCCATATGAGGCGAGATTAACAAGAGAGGGACTTGTCAGTCATTTCTTTTCCAAGTTGAAATCTGGGGGGATATGTTAGGGGTCTAGCATATCATGAATGGTGTGGAAGAATAGAATCAGGAAACATTATTTACTCCTTCACTAACATAACACAAGAAGCCGATCCACTGAAATTGTATAGGCAGCAGATTTAAATGAAATTATTTCTTCAATCAAGCTGTGGGACTCTTTGCCTGGAGATGGTGGAAAGGCCCCAACGATGTTAGGGTGCAGAGAGGAAGATGCAGACTTCTATTGACTGCACCTGCCGTCCAGCCTTCTTTTCTCCTGGGCCAGTTCATCTAGGAGGAAGAGTGGAGAGAGGTAGGGTTAGGGGCAAAGGGAGGTTGTTTCGGATTTTCCCTGGCCTGGGGGAGCATGTGGCTGTGGATGCAGAGAGCTGTCCCTGAATCGCGGTGTTTTAGGGGCCACTCCTGCCTCGGTTTCCCCAGCAAGGCTGCCTTACTACCCAGGGGAGCCTGGATATCTGAAGCTCTCAGCTGGTGCCATGGTTACCACTTATGTGATACGTCAGGCCTATGCTGTTGTTTTAGCTAATGAGCATGACGGACCAAGGTGCAGCTGAGAGCCGGTGAGAAGGGGATGGCAGCAGCGGAGACAAACCAGCCCCTGGAAAGGGAGCATTGCAGTTTGAGGTACCTGCACCTGCTTTCCCCCTCCATGCACCACGTCTCTCTCCCGTGTGGCTACACAGTCCCCTGCCTACCTGGCTGGGGCTACTCCCAGACAGCCTCACCGGCCCAGCGCCCGGCCTTGGCTTCCTCTCTGCCGCAGCGCCGAGTGACCAGACAGCTGCTGAGCAAGCCCCACGCCTCTTCAACCTGAGAACCCACAGGCCTGGCAAAAGCTCCCCACAACTCAGCCCCACCCCAGCCTCAGTCCTTCCAGCCCCACAGCCGTGTTCCCCGGGTTTCCAGCTCCGAACCAGGGTCCTGGGCGCTTGCTGGCAGCAGCAGCTGGAGCCCCTCTCCACAGGCACAGCTGTGCAAGGCTGCTGAGCCAGCGGGGAATTTCCAGGTGGGGCTCCTGGGAATCCGTGGCACAGGCGTTGGTCCTAGATGACTGCAGCAGGGCCCTTGCAGAGTGACCGGCAGCCAAGCTGGGTCTCAGCAGAGGGGGGCACCTCTGGCCTCAGCTGCCCACCCCAGCCATAAACACTCCTGTGTTATGAAGAGGCTGCTCTGCTGGGAGGGGGGAAGTTTTGTGTGATCTCCCTGCCCCCAGCCCAGAAACAACCAGCTGATAGGAGCTGAGCGATTGGCCTGGGAGGAGGGTGGGGCACTGCAAGCCTTTTCCCCTGCCAGAGTTGAAAGCCACATGGAGGGAGCAGCCTGTATTTTCAAGCTGGCTGGGGCTACAGCAGGTAGGGAGCCCAGCCTGCCTTGAGTTCTTAGGTAGGCACCTCCCAGCCAGAGCCTGCCTCTGGCACCCCTGCCACTAGGGTTGCCAGATGGTTTAACCAAAAATACCTCCCTCCCCCCCCACCACAAAAAAAACCCACCTGGGGGTGAGGAAGGGGGAAGACCAAAGATGTTGAGGGGAAAAAAAAAAAAAAAAACCCCACAGCCCCGAGGGGGAGGGGGAGGGGGAGTATGTGCAACCCTCCCTTAGGCCCACGCCATTCCTGAGGGCGGGAGAGGGGAAATGTCCAATGTTCGCCCCTCGCTGGAACAAAACAAACAAACAAACAAATAAATAAAATAAAACAGCATCAAAACAGCATGGCCCCTTTAACAGAGAGGGGAGGCATTGCATCCCCTTGCTTCAGGTCTTTTTGCAGGTGGCCATCTTGTTTTATTGATTGAACCCCCCCCCCCAGGTAAGCAGAGGGTCCGTGGTCGGGGGTCCGGGGGTAGAAGGGGGGGACGACCAGTTGTCGAGTGTTTCGTAGGGTTGCCAGGTGTCCGGTATTTTCGCCTCCTGGCAGGGAAAAATCCCAGAAAATACCCGACATTTCAGGTGTCCGTTATTTTCTTAATTTTTTTACTGAATAGGAGGTGAAAATAGCGGACTGTCCAGGTCAATATCGGACACCTGGCAGCCCTATCTGCCCCCCAACTTCCTCTCCCAGGTCACCAGGGGTGCCGTCAGAGACCGATGGAAGCCCGCTTGGGATATGGCAATCTTACCCCGTGTGCCCTTCTGCACCCTCCCTCC